TGGAGGAACAGTCAGAATACAGAAAGTCAATAAATTACACGTACACAAAACTCCCAATGCTTGCTCTGTCTTGTCTAAAAAAGTTATATCTGGTCCTCTGGGCATCCAGAAAACAAAACAAAACAAGACAAAAAAAAAGGTGGAAACATTTCGTCTTTCATCCAAAAGACTTTTTCAGTCTGAGGAGCTCAGTCTTATAAATAGCACCTTCTCGTAGTGGATCAACCAGTTTGTTGCTGACAACCAAAACCAGCTGCTCACATGATTAAGGAGGACCATCAGCCTAACGATGGATTGTTACCACCCTGATGGCTGTTTGCTATTCACAGAGGGCTGGGTGATACTAACAATAACAGCATTGTAAGAGGGGGACAGTTGAACACGGAGGTCTCCACCCATTTAATGATGGACCATTTCTTTTCACAAAGATGGCCTCCTTTACTCCTCTCTCAAACCATCATTCCTCTCTATCAAGGATGTGAACATCTTCATCCCTGAAAGAGTGACCGCTGGCCTGGAGATGAGTACAGACTGCAGAGTTATGGCCTGTTGATGTTAATTTTCTGTGCTGGGCCATCCTTTGGCCAGTGGCCGTTTAGTTTCCCTGAGGCAAGACTAATCATAGCTCTCCTGACACTGAACAGCATACACAATATTACTCTGTTTGTGCCAGGGGACTGGATCTTTAGGATGAACCAGTCTTTGCCGTAATGTATTTTAGGGTTTAAAAGCCACTGGGACGTTGTGTTTAGAAAATAAATGTCTCAGTTTCTCTGATACTACCGCAACATATGGAATGACCACTGGTCTGGGTCTGGGTTCCTCCTTTTCACCTGATGGCTGACTGGAGTCCTGTTTGGGTTTCTTCTTTGCTTTCAGGAAGGCCCAGTTAGGGTATCCACATTGCTCTAGAGCCTGTCTTGTGTGGAATTTCTCCTTGTGCCTGGCTCCTGAGTTAGTGGGGACGCTGTCTGCTCTGTGGTACAGAGTCCTGATGACTCCTGTGTACTCCAAAGGATGATGGGAGTCAAATTGCAAATACTGGTCTGTGTGGGTGGGTTTGCGGTACACCTCAGTTTGAAAATGTCCTCTATCAGAAATTGAGACCTCATAGTCCAAGAAAGCCAGCTTGCCATTTTTTACATCTTCTTGCGTGAACTTGATATATTTATCCACAGAGTTGATGTGATCAGTGAAATGTTGGGCTTCCTGAGATTTAATTGTAATCCAGGTGTCATCAACATACCTGAACCAATGACTTGGTGGTGTCCCTGAAAAGGACGTCAAGGCTCTCTTTTCTACCTCCTCCATGTACAGGTTGGCCACAATAGGAGAAACTGGAGACCCCATAGCACACCCATGTTTCTGCCTATAATATTGGCCCCCATATGTGAAGTAGGTTGACTGCAGGCACAGTTTCAAGAGTTGACACAGTTGCTCTGTGGAAAGCGTGGTCCTGCTGCTCAGAGTGGTGTCTGATTTTAACCTTAAACTGACTACCTCTACTACATCATTAACAGGAATGTGTGTAAAGAATGATGTGACATCAAAAGAGACCATTGTTTCATCAGTCTCCATGACGACATCCCTCACCTTATCCACAAAGTCCATGGTGTTCTGTATGTGGTGTTCTGAGCTGCCAACTAAAGGGATGAGTACAGACGCCAGATATTTGGAAACATTGTAAGTGACAGAGTTAATCATGCTAACAATTAGTCTTAAAGGCACACCTTGTTTGTGAATTTTAGGTAAACCATATCAGTGTTTCCCCTAGTTAAATTGCCATGGCGGGGTGCTCATCTCATCCATGATTTTTTTTTATGGGAGGGACGGACACGTCTGAGTGCAGCTTGTACAAGTTTTGAGTGGGGTTGGGGGTCAGCAAGAGGGAAGAGGCACCTTTAGCTTTAGCTTAGTGCAACATGTTTGAGCTGTGCACTGTTTGTACACACAGTTTTTGGGTGGGAGGGGGGTCAGTGTGAGAGAAGAGGCAGCATGAGTGCTGCCTTTGGCTTTCTAGCTAGAGTGCTTGTATTGCACACTGATAGCTTGGCACTTTGTCAGTGTTGGGTTGGGGGGGTTCTGTTTGGTAGGCGGGGTGCTCAGTTCTGTTCACGGGGTGGGGCACCCCGCTTGTATAATGGTAGGGGAAACACTGCAAACAGACTAGGTGTGGCCTCCCCTGGGAACCGTCTGTGGTACAGAATATGTTCAATAGCCTTGTCCTGCTCCAAAATTTCAGGCAATCTATCAACTTCTTCTTGTAGCCACTTCCTGGATTTCTCTTTAGTGGTTCATAAGTGGTTAAGTCACCAAGGAGTGTCATAACTTTCTCATGATAGTCTTTCTGGTTCAAAATCACTGTGCACCTTCCTTTGCCTGCTGGGAGAATGATGATGTTTTTGTCCTTGCTAAGGGTGGTGGGTACATCCCTCTCCTCTCTACTGATGTTGGAAGGTGGTGGTTTGGCATTGCTGAGGCAGGCTGAAACTTTGATTCTGAGTTGTTCTGCTTCACACTCTTTAATTTTGTTATTGCGGATGGCTGATTCTGTGGCTGTAATCATCTTTACCAGAGGAATTCTTGGCACAACCACAAAGTACAGTCCCCTGGCAAGAATCTCTGTCTCTGGCTGGGTGAGCTGTCTGCCAGATAAATTCTTCACCCACTTTTCTGTCTCCCTGGCATTTAACTGTCTACTGGAGTGTTGTCTTACACTGAATGTGTTGTGAATGGAATTGTGATGGTGTTGATGAGTTATCAATAAATTAAACTTGTTTTGTTGTCGAGTCTTGGACTTGACATGCTGTGCTAAGTGTGCCTGATCTTTACAGTCCATCACTTCCAGGGGACCAGACTTAATTTTTTTATTTTTTTCTACCTTAATTATTGAGCATGCATCAGGATATGTTGCTCTACCTTGGTTCTGATCCTAGTCTTGTCTTAGTGTTTACAGAACCAAACCCAGACAGCTACTATAAAGAACAGTCTCACATTAAAAAAAACATCCTTAAGATTCTCCTGATGCATGCTCAATAATCCAGGAAGAAAAATCTAAAAAAGTTAAATCTGGTCCTCTGGACATTCAAAAAAAACAAAGCAAATCAACAAAAAAATGTAGAAATGTTTCGTCTCTCATCCGAGAGACTTCCTCAGTCTGAGGAGCTGTTTTCAGCTCAGTCTCTTAAATAGCACCTTCTCCGAGTGGATCAACCAGTTTCGCTGCTGACAACCAAAACCAGCTGATCACATGCTCAAGAAGGACCATCAGCCTAACAATGGGTCATTAGCACACTGATGGCTGTTTACTACTCACAGAGGGCTGAGTGATACTAGCAATCACAGCATTGTAAGAGGGGGACAGTTGAACCCAGAGGCCTCCACCCCTGTTTAATGATGGACGATTTCTTTTCACAAAGATGGCCTCCTTTACTCCTCTCTC